TCCAAGGAACTCCTAGATCTGGCAATGCAGGTGAGGGGCTGAGTACACTTAGGATGGCTCGAGGTTCTAAAACTAGTAAAAAAAAAGACAACAACTCAGCAAGCCTGAGGAGCTAACATAGACACATGACAGAAAAGTTACAGCCGTGGGTGGGGGCACTGCTTAGGAGGAACAGATTGGTACTGTAGGACATTAAAATTCATCTGGTCTGTCTTACCTCTTTTTTCAGCAACATTGATTTGAAAAGCTTATTCCTTTCTTTGTGCTAAAATCTGTCCCTCTGAAATTTCTGCCTGTTTGCCCCATAGCACACTTGTAAGTTTAATCTCAAAGATAGCTATTTTCCCCTTATTGCCCTTTCTCCCAGTCTTTTTGAGGGGCTAAAAATGTGTGACATCTTAAGAAAATACGATGTATTTAACTATTTCTCATTGATTTAGGTCTCAGACCTTAAACCACTTGATTACCAATCTAAAACTAAGCTGGACATTCTACTGAAGTAAATACTGAGTCATCTTAATATATGGAGTCCCCAAATTACAAATGGGTTCAGTATACACATTCTGATAGTAGAAATTTATGTCTTTTTTATTTTTATTTTTTATTTTTTTAAAGATTTTATTTATTTATTTGACAGATAGCGAGAGCAGGAACACAAGCAGGGGGAGTGGGAGAGGGAGAAGCAGGCCTCCCGCCAAACAGGGAGCCCGACGTGGGACTCGATCCCAGGACCCTGGGATCATGACCTGAGCCAAAGGCAGACGCTTAACGACTGAGCCACCCAGGCGCCCTAAATTTATGTCTTTTTTAGATTCATAAGTCAGCGCACAGAATGGTTAATCCGTTCTGCACTTACAGTATGGTATTACTGCCCATACTCTGGGTTCTGGGAGTAGAGGACTTGCATGGCAGGAAGGAGTAAAATAATGTTTCCTTCCATTTCCTGGGTACAGAGAGCCCATCGTAAACTGCATTTTTGAACAGGATGTATCTTGTCTTTGGCTTTTTCTATGTCTCTTTTGTGCCTTAGGCTTCCTGTGCTCTCACACTGTGTGATCAGCTTCCCTGGTCAGTGCCTTTCTGAAGCCAGCCCTACCTCTCAAGTACTTCACTTAGATTGTAATGTGTGATTGTTAGATAAAGGGCTACCTCTCCCACTGGTATTTGCATTCTGTGAAAAGAACATAAATTGATTCATAGGGTGCTGGCAGCGATCAAGTTCAAGGGACGCTTCAGGCTATGGGTACATAAAACTTTCAGTTACGTTGCTAGTGGTCCTGGACATCTGCCCCTAGAGCCAGTTCTGGTGAACCTCACTTCACATGGTCTTTTTCTTTCACTTCTGAGCCCTCTTTTAAGCTCCAAACGTGTATATCCAGTAGTATGTCTAGATTAAGAAAAGGTTCCTCTAGGAAGTTAGAAGTGGCCAGAGTAAGTGCTCTCCATCTGAGGCTTATCTACTCACTTCCCTTCCTGGAGGCCCTGAGAAACAGCAGTAATGGAAGCCTCAGATAAGGAGCTGGGCCTCCTGACAAATTTGGTAGACTAAACTCCCAAAAGAAGTTCGTCTGTGGTTCCTGTGAACAGTTGCCATAAATACACTGGCTACAGATGAACCAGTACGTTCTTCCCTCCCACTTCATTTCTGATGATGTCCTCCTCTGGCTGCCTCTTCCTTCTCTGGCTGCCTCTTCCTCCCATGGCCTAACCTTGAATTGTGTTCAATGCAGAATGCCTGGTTTCGGAAATCCCGCTTTAAAGGAGGAAAAGGCAAAAAGCTGAACATTGGTGGAGGCGGCCTAGGCTACAGGGAGCGGCCTGGCCTAGGCTCAGAGAACACGGTGAGTCCAGACTGCAGCAGTGCCCTTTGGGCTGCTCCCAAGTCCTGGAGGATGTTATGACCGTCCTCCTCTACCTGAGAAAGCCTCAGTGAGTTTAGAACCCCGTCTACAAGGAATGTTGTGACTTTGTCTTAGAGAAGCACCTTTGTGTACTTGGTGACTAGATATGCTCAGGAAATCAGTCTAGATTAACATCAGTTTGCAAATTGTGGTCCCTGGACCAGCAGTAAATGCAAATTTGTGCCCCACCCCAGACCTGGTGAATCAAAAACTTGACAAGCCCTCCAGCACTGGCCTAGAGTCTGCTGCTGGGAACCCTGACTCCAGAATGCTTCCTACACTCTGTGGGAAATTGCATCAGAAATGAGAGCTAGCTTTTCTCACAAAACAGGTAATGAAAGCGCCCCCTTACTGGCTTTCTTAACTGCCTGTTTCCTGTCACTTTGATTCCTAAACCAAAGAAGAAAGCTGCCAGTCTTTTTATTTGTGGAGCATTATTGTTTACTTGGTGTCTCTGATAAAGAATCTGCTCACACCTCTCAGTAACGATGCACAGGACACCGTTGGTAGTGATAGCTAATGTTGAGCCATGGCAAGCAGTCATGCATGTTAACTCAGTCTTCACAACCACCCAGTGAGCACAGGTGTACTGATCATGAAACAGAGGCACCCAGGTTATACTGCAGTAAGTGTTGAAACTGAGACTCGGGCTTTTAAGAGTGAATTCAGAGCTTGAGCCATGTATAGGCTATATGCATATGCTATATATTGCCTTGTGGCCTCTTCATCCTGAGCATGTAAAGCTTTACAGAATTATAGAAACATTGTATTTGTGTGTGTAAATAAAACCATATGATCAGCATTGGGCATAATCTGACTTCGGGGTTAGGGTTAATTCCTAAAAACAGAATTACTGGGTTAAAAGGCATAAGCATTTTTAAGTATTTATTACTGTACCTTTTCCCACAAAATATATCCTGTTCCCATTGCAGTGCCCACTTTGTTTCCAGGACATGAGGCCCAGTCTGGCAGTGAGCTTTCCTGCTCATTCTGTCCTCATGGGTGTGTTTTTTTTTTTTTAAAGGACCGAGGAAACAACAATAATGTGATGAGCAATTATGAGGCCTACAAGCCCTCCACAGGAGCCATGGGAGATCGGCTGACAGCAATGAAAGCAGCTTTCCAGGTCTGAAATTAAGGAGTTAGCTAAAAGAGCTTTGCACAGTGATGAGGGGCCTAGTCTTTCAGAGAGGGTAGCTGAGCTTGTAGGCTTGATGCTAGACTTAAGGGCTTCTCACTGCTTTCAGTTTTGAATGTCAACTTCATAATAGCTTACATAGAGCTGCAGGTGTAGAAGCTAGGAAATCTGGTCAGGGACATCCGTCATCCCAGAGCTTGGGACTGTTGGTACTGTAGCAGGGCTGGCGGTCCCGCCCTGCCTCAACAGCCGACAGCATTGCCCACCTCTAAGGCTCTTGTAAGCTGGTTGAGAATAATTACCTTTTTTTTTTTTTAGCTAAGACAAGTTTGGTTCTGGAGCTCTTAACTTTGAACCCATGTATACTTATCCTTCCACCCCTCCAGTTAGCAAGCTAACCAGCTGAGCCTTAATTTATGCATTTTATCTGCCTTCAGACTGATGTTTCAGCTAGGTCCTTAGATTTCTTCTCATTAATAGAGGAACATAGAAACCACAGGGTTGTGGGGCCATCGGGATGCTCATAGTGCCAGGGTAGCATAGAATTTCTGTGTACTTTCTCATTACCAAGCTTCACATATCCCAAGTTTCTTGAACCCACTGTCTTAACTCTTGTTGTCTCTCTTTCAGTCACAGTACAAGAGTCACTTTGTTGCTGCCAGCTTAAGCAACCAGAAGGCGGGAAGCTCTGCTGCTGGCGCAAGTGGATGGACTAGTGCAGGGAGCTTGAATTCCGTCCCAACTAATTCAGCCCAGCAGGGCCATAACAGTCCAGACAGCCCCCTTGGCAGTGCCACCAAGGGCATCCCAGGCTTTGGCAATACTGGGAACCTCAGCGGTGCTCCAGTGACCTACCCTTCTGCTGGAGCCCAGGGAGTCAACAATACAGCTTCAGGGAGTAACAGCCGAGAAGGGCCTGGGGGAGGCAATGGGAAGAGAGAGAGATACACGGAGAACCGGGGTGGCAGCCGTCATGGTCATGGAGAGAGTGGCAATCGGCATGGCGACAGTCCACGTCATGGAGAGGGTGGTCGCCATGGAGATGGATACCGCTACCCCGAAAGCAGCAGCCGTCATGCTGACGGCCACCGTCATGGGGAGAGTAGGCACGGAGGAGGTGGCAGCCGACATGGAGAGAGCCGAGGTGCAAACGATGGTCGGAATGGTGAAAGCAGGAAAGAGGGTTGTAATCGTGAGAGCAAGGTGGACCCCAAGGTGGACAGCAAGATGGACAAGGTGGACAGCAAGACAGATAAGACAGCCGATGGTTTCGCTGTCCCCGAGCCACCCAAGCGCAAGAAAAGTCGATGGGACAGTTAGAGGGTATGTGCTACAGTGTGAAATCAATTGTCTTTAATTTTATTTTTAGAAAGATTTTTGGTAACTAGGCGTCTCAGGGCTGGGTTGGGGCCCAAGGTGTAAGGACCCCCTGCCCCTAGTGGATTAGCTGGAGCTTGGAGACATTACCCTTTCATCTGGATCAGTTTTCGGATGTCTTCTTGGGAAGCTGCTTTGGTCCTTGAAAGCAGTGAGAGCTGGGAACCTCCTATTGGGCTCTAGGTGAGTTGTGAAGGTCAGTTGAGAATACCTTGAAAGAAAGGGCCTTCTAGGGCACAAAACTCACTCTAGGTTTTTATTATATGTAGTGTTATATTTTTTACTAAAATGTCACCTTATAAACATCTACAAGTAAAATTTCTTTTCTTAGCTGTGTGGCCAGGCAGTTCCCTCTTTAGGAGTTGGCTTTCTGCAAACCCAACCTACTGAAGCATTTGTTGGAGATTTGGGGAAGGATTTTGGTGCTTCTAGACTTTGCAGGGAAGAGCAATGTGTAAGTGAGAGTCCGTGCTCAGGTTCCCCAGCCAGGTTTGTGTCCAGTCCTGAGACAGGAAGCAGCAGCCCGCCAGACCCAGAGAGCCCCTACCTTCAAAGAGAAACAAGACTGCTCCAGGTCTGAAGTATTGCTAAATTGAAAAAAACAAAAACGACAGCTTTTAAAGTGTCTTCTATTTCATTGTATTTTTTTTTTTTAACTTGCCACAATGGTAGAAAATCTTTTGCTGAAATGATTTTGATGATTTTTGTTCTATCTTGTTTATAAAAGGAAATATACATACTTCGAATTTTGTGACTTTGTGAAGGTTTCTTTAAGATGTGCATTCCTTTCTGCTTGCTCTAGTAAATGTTTTACTACTGGGACCTGTGGATTGTTTGTCATTTCTACTTCACAGTGAGTACATACTATGATTTATAACTGTGCAGTACATGGTGTGAACACCCAGATGTTTGAGTTAGCACTTAGTGGGAACTAAATGTCAGAAAAGATAATACCCTGGTTTTATTCAGATAATAGAAGAGGATGGGGGAAGACCTGAGAGGCTGGCTTGCCCAGAAATAGAGTGAATGCCACTCGGACACTGACCTTCCCCCTAGGAGACTGTTCGTCTAGTACTCCACATTCCTAACAGAGGAGCTAGGGGCTCTGCTACAGCACCAACAGGACATGTCAGAGACCTTCCTTCAACACTCAGGACCACCCCGTGAGAGTTCTAGGCACCCCACCTGTCTTTCCAGCAGACTACAATGCAAGCCAGCCTGCAGCTGGTATGGGGTGGGGGCTGGAATCACACCTCCATGTCCTCACACTGTCTTCTCAGAGGACCCCATGGCTCTGCTCACTTCCGTCTGTGTTTTTTCTTCTGCTCTTTCCTTTGCTGTGCCCTTTGGTCCTTCTTCATCCTTGAGTCCACCACCTTGAAATGGCCTCTGACTCCAGCTGGCCGGTGGACTTTGCGGCCCACACCTTTTTTGGCTACCACATAGGTGACTTGGCGTTTCTCCTTGCCAAGCCCAGCCTTCTTGTAGAGACTGTAAATGGAAGGAAGACATTAGAGGCTTCCAGCCATCCTTTTTAACCCCATGTACCTTTGTGGGTGACCTCTCTCTCCTTTACCTCCGAAGCTGAGCCACTTTCTCACGTTCTGAGATGTCCACGGTGTTCACCACAGCCTCTGCCTTCTTCTTGGTTTGCTCCAACTTCTTCAGCATCTGCCGGGGGGGGGCGGTGCACGGTGGCTCTGTCAGGCGGACCTCTTCCCCACTCCCACCCCTGCACACAGATAACAGGCGGCCCCACTCTTTACCCTCCGTTTCTTTCTGGCCTTCGCCTCGGCTACTTTCTTGATGGGACGTGCGTTGATTTCCCGCCAGCGTCGGCGGTAGTGTTCTACCTCCTTCTTGTCAATAGGCAGCTGCCGGATCCTGTGCTGCTTTTCCTCTTGCACAAACCACTCTGGAAGCTCCCCCTCCTCCTCATTAAATGTATACCTAGAGAGAGGACAGCAGCCAAAATCATCCCCCGTCCCCCTCCCAGGGCCACGTCTCATGATTTCCTGGCCCCCTTACCGGCTGAAGGAGTCATCTATGAGATCTCTCTTAGCCTTTTTGGAAGAGGCAATGATAGCACCTAGGGCAAGGCCTTCAGGATCTAGTATCTGATGTTTCACTAAAGAGAAAAGGGAAAAGTCAAAGCTCCGTATCGACCCAAACTTCCATTGTCGCCTCCCATTTCACAAGGTACCAGGCTCACCTGGGTCCTCGATGGGCACGATCTCAAACCCGTCATCGGACTTAAGCCCACGGCTTCGCTTCTTCCCGTGCTTTGGTTCCCAACTGCAGAAGGGGGATGACTGTTGTCAGTTCCACCAGTCCCCAGACCCACTCCTGCCTCACCTCAACCCCGCTTCCTATTGAAAACTTGGCCTGAAAGGCCCCCCGAGCTATACCACAGACTACTTGATTCACTTCAGAATCATCACTTTTTTTTTTTAAGTCGCTATCTACAGCCAAGGGTGAAAACCCCAAACGGGGACAAGTGGTCAGAACAGCTGCAGCCACTCACCTCTCTTCGCTGCTGCTGCTGTCGCTGTCCGAGCTGCCCTCTCCTTCCTCATCAGGCCCAGGGGCATTCTTGGCCTCTGCTGGAGCCTCTGGCCGCTTAGGGCCCGCCTCTTGGTGCTGGGGAGGTTTCTTCTCACTCTTTAAACCGGAAGGTGGGGATGGCAGCTGCTGTTGCCCCCTCCGACGCCTCTCATACAACAGCTGGGCCTGACCGAGCTCCAGGGCCTCATCAGCATCCTCCTCAATCCCTCTGAAGCCATCCTGTGACGGGGGGAAGTTTCAGCCACCCGTCTCCCAGGGGATACTAAGTCCCTGGCTGGCTGGGCCCCCAACCTCTTACCTTAGAGAACCACAGACGGGCTTGTTCTTCCTGCAGTATCATCTTTTCCTCCAATGGTACCAGCAGTGGATTCCCTTCTTCTCCTCCTTTTTCATCTACTTCAGCAAATTGTACACTGTAGAGAAATGGGTGGGGGCTTGGGAGATGTGCTTTCCGACTCCCACTTGCGACCCCTGCGCCCAGCTCTGCTTCCGTACTCACAGAGAGGGTCAATGCCCCTGCATGCATGAACCCCCCCCCCCCCACTTACCGCTTCTGGTCCTTTAGACACGGAGATCCTCCAACCTCTGCCAGCTCCTCTGGATCCAGGTCACTCTCCAGAGATGCATCGTCATCGTCTTCCTCAACATCTGATACGTAGAGGTCGTCTCTTGGCAGATCAGACAGAAATGTGTCTGCAGCGCTCATATCCCCTTGTGTGACCTCCTCTAACAACTGGAGTTTGACAGAGAAAAAAGAGGTCAAGGATTCTTATGAGGCACATAACGCTTTTTCCCCCCGTATCTGTTACCTTAGCAACATTTGAAAACACTCTGTAGTTTAAGAAACTATGAGTATGAGAGGCTCCCGGGTAGCTCAGTTGTTAAGCTCTGCCTTTGGCTCACATCATGATCTCAGGGTGCTGGGATCGAGCCCCGCGTCGGGCTCCCTGCTCCGCGGGAAGCCTGCTTCTCCCTCTCCCACTCCCCCTGCTTGTGTTCCCTCTCTCGCTATGTCTTTCTCTGTCAAATCTTAAAAAAATAAAATACACTGTGGCAAATACAGACAAGGAAATGATGGGGCTAAGTGTTTAAAACATCCGTTCGGGACACCTGGGTGGCTCAGTTGGTTAAGCGTCTGCCTTCGGCTCAGGTCATGATCCGGGGGTCCTGGGATCAAGTCCCGTATTGGGCTCCTTGCTCAGCGGGGAGCCTGCTTCTCCCTCTCCCTCTGCCTGTAGCTCCCCCTGCTTATGCGCTGACAAAATCTTTAAAAAAAAAAAAAAAAAAAGGGAGGCTCAGTTGGCTGGGCGTCCAACTCTTGGTTTTAGCTCAGGTCATGATCTCGGCGATCATGAGATGGGGCCCCACATCCAGCTCCTTGCTCAGAGGGAGTTGGCTTGAGATTCTCTCTACCCCTCCCCCCAGTCACAGAGCACATGTGCACTCTCTAAAAAAAAATTTTTTTTTTTTTTTTTTAAAGATTTGACAGACTGAGCGCACACAAGCACAAGCAGGGGGAGCGACAGGCTCCCGCAGAGCAGGGACCCCAATACAGAGCTCAAACCCAGGACCCTGGGATCATGACCTAAGCTGAAGGCAGATGCTTAACTGAGCCATCCAGGCACCCCTAAAATAAGAAATCTTAAAAAAAAAAAAAAATCCCATTCTAAGTCAGGTCACTGTTCTATCCCACTTGTCTGTCTGAAGTGGTAGCAGAAAAACACCCCAAGCCTATATAACATCCAATCTTAAAATACTCTAAAACATTTTTTCTTACAAAATTACTCCCAGAAAGCACATTAAAAAAAAAAAAAAAGCACATCACCTGAGAATAACAACCTACGGATTTTGTTTCCACTGAATAGAGGAACCCAGGCAACACACATCTAACAACTACTATTTCACTTAAAAACTGTCAACCTCAAGATTTATTTTCCTCATAACAAAGCTAGCTGTTAGTGCTTGAGAGTTTACGTTATCAGGGATTACACCTAAACCCTCTTTAAAAATTCCTCCCCAAAACCCTAGCTGGTAGGTTCTATCATTCCCTCCTACAGATGAGAAAACCAAGGCAAAGAACCACTACGCTCTCTCTGCTGTTCTCGTAACAAAGAGGACCTGGGTTTCCATTCCCGCGGGAACCATAGAAGTTCATTTCACTTGTCGATGCTGCTTTAATCAGGAAATGCAGCCTATGGCAGCAAGGTGCCAACCTGGTCTCTGTGACCCGAAGAACACTGCCCTCCTCTGAGGAAAACCCTCCTCCACACACCCTGGCATCCCAGGTACCCTGGGGGCTGCATCTACTAGAACCTATGCTTCTTGCATAGAGTGCTTCTTAGTTCTAATGTTCTAGCTCTACCATAATCAATCCATAGCACACTCATAAACGTTCCTAATCTCATTGTTTTAGATACATTGTTTCTTCCTGGCCTTTCAGGCACAAAACTCGGTTTTTCCAACAGTATCCTCTCACTGAAAGAGTCACCTTTCAGCTTACAGGGGAACACGGCAACTATGAGCCATAAGCATTCAGCACACTTAAAAAAAGGCCTCTACTACAATACCCCCCATGTCCAAATCTGCCCTAACCCCACCTCACCTGGTGACCCCGGATGGTGCGCAGGGAGAACATGCCAGTCTCCCCCTCATCTGCAATAGAAACCCCGGGAAGATCCATCTTCAGCTCCACACGCTCCCGCTGTTTTCTCTGCTCACGCAGCAGCTTCTTTTTCTTCCTGAGTGGACAATTTGAGGAATTCACCCCACCCCAGCTCGAAAGACTCCCCATCCGAGCCTTCATCCTCTCCCCCATCTTCACACAGAGGAACTCTGTGGTGGGACTCCCGCTCCCCGAGCTCCTCCCCACTCCTCTTACCTCTTTAATTCTGCCACCTCCTGGGCCTTCATCTCTGCCAGGCTCTGGTTTAATCGTTCCTCCTCTTCATCCTCAGAGGGCTGCTGCCCAGTCCCAACCTTAGACTCCTCACCCCCTTCGTCGTCCTCTTCCTCTCCTGAACTGAGGCTGACAAAACAGTGCAAGAAGTTTGCTTCTTTTCTCATACACCCCGCCGACCCCAGCCAACACCTACCCTGGTTTGATTCCCGCCTCACCTGATGTCCAGTGCCTTTGCTTGCTCTTTCAGCTTCTTGGCCACGTATCGCCGGAGCTTTGTTCTCCAGTTCAGGAGGGACCTGCCCCAGAAATACCATGACTGACCCTGACGTTTCCCTCTTTGTCCCTGTCCCCTTTTTAGGCCCCCCTCCCAAATCTCTAGCACAGCAGCATCCTGTCCCCCAAGATCCAACGCTAGGTGAATTCCTCAAATTGTCCCCTCAGGAAAAACAATGCTGCTGCGTCTTCAAAGGCCTTTCCCTGCCTTGGGGACTCCTGGTACCTGTGCCCGCCCCCACTGCATACCTAAGTTCCTTGCGCCCCAGCACTTTGATATCCTGACAGCATGCCCGGATGTCCTCAGTGGTAGCTGGATGCTGTGCCAACTCTTCATCATCTAGTGAAATCTGGGAGAAAAGAAGCGAGTCGGGAGATTCTGGGGACGTGTTTCTGGAGCTTCCTTGCACCCCTCAAAACTGAGAACTCACTTCACTGGCTTTGGAGAGGAAGTCAACGGGGTTGGCAGCTCGGAGGAAGTCAGTGACTGAAGTACGGTGATAGAGCGTGAGGTCACCCTCAGCATAGCCTTCAGCCTTAGGGAGGGAAAGGAAGGAAGAGTGAGAAGTCCTTTCTAAGGCGTGTGCAGGACCCACCAGGCCCAAGTTCCCTCGAGCTCTAGGACCTGAGAGTGGCCCCATTCCCCAAACACACCTTTGGCTTCTTCTTAGTTACCAATTCAGTAACAGTCTTGGCCTGAACTTCGATCTCCTTGAAGGCAAACTTGGGGTCAAAGAATTTACTGTCAACCTTGTCAGGAGCCAGGAATCCTACGACGATAGGATATATAAGAAAGCGTGCTTTGATAGCTAAGAAACCGACTCATGAGAAAGAAAAAGCAACGCCCACCCTGGCAGACGACAAAGATCTCTGCAGATTCATGGCGAGAAGCTTGGGGCTTAGTGGCCTGGACACGGCGGAAGAGCTGCTGGAAGATCCAGAGTAGGGGCTGATAGTCTCGGGAACGAAAAACCTTCGTGATGAAGCAGCCTCCACGGGCCAGAAAATCACAAGCCAGACGCAGAGCCATCAGTGTCAAATGGGCTGTGGGAGAAAACAATTAGCTGAGGACCTCTGCAGCCTGAGCGGGCAAGGCCACCTCCACCCTCATCTCCATGCCCCCCGCTCCCAGCACCTTGTGAGTAAGCATCATGGACCCAGCTAGCCCCAACGTTGGGGGCCCCATCATTGAGCACAACATCAACCTTCCAGGTCTTCAGTTCCTTTCTCAGGGCCTATACAAAAGAAAAGCAATCATAGCAGCAGAAACACAAATATGGCTATAAAAGCAATCCCTCATTCAGCCATTTGTCCACCCAGTCACTTGCTGAATACCCACAATGGGCCAAATCCTGTGCCAGGCACGGAATACAACAATTAAAAAACAACAACACACGTCTATCTTCACGGAGCTTACAGTCTACTAGTGAGCCCACTGGAAAAGATTTCAACAATATCTCTGCACTTCTTCCAATTCCAAACACCTCATTCCTGATTAAATAAAGCCTGGAGTAGAGACTAAGGGCGTCATGGGCCTTGTCATACAGACTATGGCAGGCACTGCTCAAGGCGTGTTAAACTGAGAAAGCTTGCCTCTGGAGGATTTGGGTGGTGAGACGGAGACGTGTGTGTCTGCATATAAAGGAGACCAAAAAAAAAAAAAAAAAAGATTCCTATTACCTGCCTACACCGTTCTGTTGTGATGTCCTCCTGGAGTGTCACCACATTGGGAAGAGGCTTGATTGGAACCAGGTCCACTCCTGGAAGAAATCAGGTCAGAGTTCCGAAAGATCGCCTCAAGCAAGGAGAAAGGAAATGTAGAACACAATTAGTACCTCACTCTCCCATCCTTTTAACATTCAGGGGCGGCCCACCTGTTACTCACCTACAATAAGGCTGGATACAGGCATAAACTTAGCAGCCACCTGCAGCCTATAAGAGAGTAATACCGATTAAGATAACCCAGGACCGTTCTTTCCCCTCCGTTGGCAATAGGCTCTCTCACCATGCGTGTTAAGAGCCGCTACCAAGTGCAGTGGCCGGAACATGTAACGTACACGTTTCCAACCTTTTTTCTGCGATCTATGTCTAGGGAGAATTTTGAGACCGGTATTACTGTATCTCTCCCTCCCCCCCTCCCTCCCTCCCCCCAACGCAACTCTCAGTCATCCAAGGCGAACCCAGAAAGCAGCCATTAAGAGCCAGAGGTGCCGGGTGTTACCCACCATCCCCCTGGGGCAGCACACAGGTCCAGCAAGGCTCGCGCTTTCTGCAGGAACTGAAAGCGGCGATTCAACTGGATCAGCTTGAAAGCAGAGCGGGAGCGGTAACCTGGGGGCACCGACAAAATGTTAAACTCGGCGGGGCGCTTTCCCATGGGGATTTGTGCGGCTTCACAAACCACCACCCCTTCTGGGGAACAGGAACTCAATATTCGGAAAGGTGGGAGCAAATCGAAAAGGCCATTCGTTCGCTCGCAGACGGCGCGTACCCTGACTCACCGGTCTCCTTCGCCAGGTGATAGAACTTGTCTCGCCGGCTCTTCCCGACTTTGCCCTTCTTGCCCATGGTGAAACGGGGGGAGTGTCAATCTGCGGACAGAGTAAAAACTGGAACGTCTCTTCCCAGATCACTAAACTCCGCTTTCCGTTCCCTACCTGCTTCTGCAATTACCCGTAACCAGCGCCTTTTTCACCACTCTAGGAGAAGCACGTGTGGGCAGCATACGTACTTCCGCTTCCGCTTGCGTCGCTTGCGTCCCCGGCTCCAAGTGTCCGCCATTTTGAGCGTGGCCGCAAATTCTTCTCTATGTTCTCAAGTATTATAAGTTAGAAGTTGGGGCCAGGTGAGCCGATTACCGGAACTAAAACCGAGTTTCTAGAGAGTAACATGTAGGCGTTCTGTGGTCTCTTCATCCCTTTCCAAGCTCCTGACCTCGCGCAGCCACCTTCCTATCATGGCCTCTGTTTTTGTAATTGTCTCGACGCACACCCCGCCCATTGACCCGGAATTCTTCTCTGCTAGTGTCGCTGGACCCTAAGCCCTTGCTTTTGCGCCTGCGCGCCAAGGCGGCTCGGATGCCGGCGGTCTCCGTGAGAGAAGGAAGATGGCGCTTGACGGGCCGGAGCAGGTATGGCGCCTGCGGCGGCCGGGCGGGAACGGGGGCTCGATGACAATCAGGCGTGATCTGAGGTGGGCCGCTGGCCGGGGCAAGAGGGTCGGGTGGGTTGGGTGGGTCGGGGGTGGGTGGGCCAATCCAGACTGGGCCCTGCCTGGGACCGGATCTGCTGTGTCAGCGCCGCCCCTGGCGGGTCAGAGCAGGGCCGAGGGGGGAAGACACCGTGGAAGCGGAGAGAGTGAGGGGAACGATGGGAGCGGGAACCGGCCCGTCCGCGAGTCGCAGGAGGTAGGGCCCGGTCCCTAATGGTGGCTCCACCTCGAGTAATGATACCTCGGGTTTTTACATCGCTTGACTCGCGACAAAGCGCTCCCGTGTATATTGTCTCTTGATTCTCCTGAAAGTCTTAGGAGGTAGGCGGCATTCTCATTCTGCTTTTATTTTTATTTTTTATTTTTTTAAAAGATTTTATTTATTTATTTGAGAGAGAGAGAGAATGAGAGAGAGCAAGCACACGAGAGGGGGGAGGGTCAGAGGGAGAAGCAGACCCCCCGCCGAGCAGGGAGCCCAATGCGGGACTCGATCCCGGGACTCCAGGATCATGACCTGAGCCGAAGGCAGTCGCTTAACCAACTGAGCCACCCAGGCGCCTCTCATTCTGCTTTTAGTTTAGTCACGGGGAAGCGGAGGGTTCTAAAGAGATGGACTGGGGCATTCGAACCCAAATCTTATTCCTCCAAAGTCCAAGCTGGAAGTGGGTATTTCCCTTGCGGTTTTTTTGGCCTGTTTAATAATTACACTGTGTTTTCAGATGGAGCTGGAAGAGGGGAAGGCAGGCAGTGGACTCCGCCAGTATTATCTGTCCAAGATTGAAGAACTCCAGGTGAGGACGGACTCCAGAGGTCCAGAGGCAGCTAGAAGAGGGATGAAGGATTGAATGAGTATGTTTCTATAAATCCACATTATTCCATTGGGGGTGCAGTAGAAGTAACCGGTCACCCATAGGAAGTATGTGAAGTTAAGTCTCTTGTTTCTCTCAACTCCTACTGCTTTGAAGGTAATCAGTATTCAGAGTTTATTACCCATTCTGAAGAGTCAAATTTTAACCTAAAAGGTACTCTTAGCCAAATGCCATTCGTCTAGAAGTCTGAATGTGAGGGTTTGTTTTATAAGGGAACACGAAGGTTCAGATGAGATTTAGCACACTGGGGCTGGGGCAGGGTGAGAGTGGGAGGGCAGACAGAATTGCCGGGTCTGCACAATGATTCCATGGGACTGAATGAAAAGGAATTGGGCAATCTAGTCCTCTAGCCTAAAGAGGGAGCAGGGACCCCAGCAATAAGGAAAATATGTAAATTGGATGAAGGAAAGTCACAAGAGTGATTTCTAAACTCCTGGTACATTTGTAGCTATCATATTAGGTTTATCATCTTTGAAGTGCTCTTATAAGTGATGTCATTTGTTCTTCACAAGAGTCCAGAAAAGAGGCAGGGTAGGTGACGCTGTATCTACTTATGGTTTGGTAAGAGATCTTGACCTTTTAAAGGCTTTCCTTAGTTTCACCTACCTGTTAATTGGCAGCAGTGGGGTTAGAACTTAGGCTTTTGACTCAGTGATCTTCCCACTCTACCGTGTCATTGTCTCGAAAGAAATTGACTATGTGAGGCAGCGGTAACTTTTCTCCATTAGGGCTTGTTATTTCTGGACCAGTGTGTTAGGACAACTAGCCTTTTTTGATGGCTGCCCTAGGCCCCAGAGGGACTCTTAGAAGAAAGGACAGGGTCTTTAGAATCCTATTGCACAATCTGGAACATGCAGGTGCCCTCTGCTCTTCTGTCACTCAGCTCATACCAGCCTGTGAGGATCTTGGCCAAGAGCTTAACCTCCTAGTGTTTTCTGCTCTGTTTCTTGTCCTCCATAGCTGATTGTAAATGATAAGAGCCAAAATCTCCGGAGGCTGCAGGCACAGAGGAATGAGCTTAATGCAAAAGGTGAGGAGGGAAAGATGGGAAGGCTGCATTTGGGCAGTCTGTCCGAGGTCTGACTGTTCGAATCTCCCTAAATTGAGACTTCATGTTTGGTGCTTATTTCTCAGAGTCTAAGGTTATGCTTTGCACTGTTACATGGTTGTTCACATGCATGCCTCTCCCGAGCTGCATTGTTATCCCTTTAGAGACCTAAATTCTGACTTTATTTTTGTGGTCTTCTAAAACTTCAGAATGGTGCTTCATTCATGCCTATTGAATTGAGTCGTAGGAGAGGGGACACCAAAGAAGCTGGGTGACCGTTTTGTCTCTTTCCCATCCAGTTCGCCTACTGCGGGAAGAGCTACAGCTGCTGCAGGAGCAGGGCTCCTATGTGGGGGAAGTAGTCCGGGCCATGGATAAGAAAAAAGTGTTGGTTAAGGTAAAGGCACCATGACCCCCAGGGAGCAGCCTAATGCCTGGTGCGTTCCCATGCATCTGTGTGTAGTCTTGCCGGGACACTGTTCTGTTATTTTAGGGCTCATGGGTCTTTCTGGGCGAGGTGGGTGGTTCAGTGGCTGTCAGGAAAGGTAATGAGCCCTCGTTTCTTTAGGTGCATCCTGAAGGCAAGTTTGTCGTAGATGTGGACAAGAACATCGACATCAACGACGTGAGTGCAGCAGGTGAGGTGGGAGGTTGGGCTTAGCTCTCACCACACCACTTCCTGAAACTCTCCCCTCGGCCAGGTGACACCCAACTGCCGGGTGGCTCTAAGAAACGACAGCTACACTCTGCACAAGATCTTGCCCAACAAGGTAGACCCACTAGTGTCACTGATGATGGTGGAGAAGGTGCCAGATTCAACCTATGAGATGATCGGTGGACTGGACAAGCAGATTAAGGAGATCAAAGAAGTGATCGAGCTGCCTGTCAAGCATCCTGAGCTCTTTGAAGCGCTGGGCATTGCGCAGCCCAAGGTGAGAAGCAAGATTTCTGTGTAAGGGTCATGCTGTTACTGGCACATTCTGCCCCAGCCCAAGTGAGTACGGGGCTCAGGGGAGGTGTCAGGACATTCTAGACGCCACTTACACTGGCCCTCCCCACGGAAGAGGGGCCGGGGGTAGTGCTGCCAGGGCACGGAGGTGGCTCTGAGAAAAGCGTTAGGAAGGACCTCGACGTTCGTTACTTATACCCCAGCATCTAGCACAGGGCCTAGCCCAAAGCGAGCACTTGGTAAATGTTCCCTAGTGTAAGGTGGGGACTGGTTTCTGCCCTGAGTCCTGCTGTTTCTTTCTAGGGGGTGCTGCTATATGGACCCCCAGGCACTGGGAAGACACTGTTGGCCCGGGCTGTGGCTCATCACACAGACTGCACCTTTATTCGTGTCTCCGGCTCTGAATTGGTACAGAAATTCATTGGGGAAGGTAACTCTGGCTAGAAACCTGAAAACCAAGCAGAAGTGAGGGGGTGGAGGTGAGGGTATGGAGCTCATTGCCCCCTTAACGCCAGCTTGGCCTCTGCACAGGGGCAAGAATGGTGAGGGAGCTGTTTGTCATGGCACGAGAACACGCTCCATCTATCATCTTCATGGATGAAATTGACTCCATTGGCTCCTCACGGCTGGAGGGGGGTTCTGGGGGGGACAGTGAGGTGCAGCGGACAATGCTGGAGCTGCTCAACCAGCTGGATGGCTTTGAGGCCACCAAGAATATCAAGGTGAGGTGGCATCCAAGGGAAGGCCCTGGGCGAGGTGCAGCCCAAGGAAGGGCTTGGCTGATGCCGCCACCACCCCCTTTCTCCACTCAGGTTATCATGGCTACTAATAGGATTGACATCCTGGACTCTGCGCTGCTTCGCCCCGGGCGCATCGACAGAAAAATTGAATTCCCACCCCCCAATGAGGAGGTTTGTGAGGGGCCGAGCTGCGGATGACTCTGGCTGTGGAGGTAGGCCACAGGGCTCAAGCTTTTCCTCTCTGTCCCCTCTCTAGGCCCGGCTAGATATTTTGAAGATTCATTCTCGGAAAATGAACCTGACCCGGGGGATCAACCTGCGGAAAATTGCTGAGCTCATGCCTGGGGCATCAGGTGCCGAAGTGAAGGTAATCGGAGGGCCCAAGGAGAAGGGGGCCACGGCAGAAAGGTGTGGGTTCCAGGACACAGCAACAGTGCCTGGCTTCCTTTCTCTGCCCAGGGGGTGTGCACTGAAGCCGGCATGTACGCCCTGCGGGAGCGGCGTGTCCACGTCACCCAGGAGGACTTCGAGATGGCGGTAGCCAAGGTAGAGGCTTGTCTTTCTGCCCTTGCTGACGGACTCTCGACTGGGGGGGTAGAGTGTGTGTTCGTTGTTCCGTTTGTAACTTAATGCTTTCTCTCTCCAGGTCATGCAGAAGGATAGTGAGAAAAATATGTCTATCAAGAAGCTTTGGAAGTGAGGTGCTTGTCTTTTGGGTGGATCCCTCAAATAAAGCTCTGCGGGACGAGCCCTGAAGGACTTTAGTGTGTTACTGCGTGGCCACACTGTTGAATGACCAGATCCAGGTACCACCAATAAACAAGGATTTATTTGGAAATTTCCAAACCTGCCAGAAGTGGCCCTTGCCAAGCCCTGGGGTCCACCCTCCTCCAAGCTCCAAAGGGCAATAATGGTCCTCCCCACCACTCCCCCTCCCATCCCCCCGCCCTCCACCAAGCACGCACACCCGTACCTCAGGCCCTGCTAGAGAACTGGAGTCCCCTCCAAGGAGGCTCTCCCACCCTGGGCTCAAGAGCTGGGGTGCAGCCCCCTGGTGTCCAAGGAGATGGCGGCCAGAGCCGCTTGCATAGATTGAGGAAAGAAAAAAACAGAAGGAGGCACCAAACAGGGCTCCCTGAAA